CCCCAAAACCCCAAAACCCCAAAACCCCAAAACCCCATCAATTTTTTTGTTGAGTTAATGGGTTATTTTGCTTTTAATAAATATTATATAGTAATTCATCGGTAACTTAAGTTCTATTATTCCACAGCTATACTCTTTTTATGTAAATTTATTGCAACATCTAATTCGACAACACTTGATCTTAATTTTTTATTGTCAGAAGTTTTCTTTCCAAGATTTAGAGCCCTTTCAATCTAAAAATGATATAAATTTTATCAATGATGTGTACCTGTTTAATATTTTGTAGGTCCAAATTAAGATTTCTCTTTTTTACTGCGATCTCTGCACTTCTACCATATAAACTATACCAATCATGAAAATCAATTTGCTTTACTCTATTTTTTAGCAGAATTCAGGGTCTCTTTTGTTAAGTTAAGTTTCAGTTAAGACATTCTCAGCTATATTCATTTTATCTAGCATATTGTGAATCATTTTTGAAGTTTTCTTAGAGATTGAAGATTTGCTCATCTTCTTTTCAAATTTTAACTTGTGCAGCTCTTTTTGCATCTTAGCTTTCTCCTCTTATTTCATTTCATACAGAGTTTTTCTTCTAATTATCTGCTTAGGGGGATTTCTAATACTTTGAGCTTTGATTAATGGAGAGGATGGTTCCGATTCGTCAGATGAGCTGGATGTATCAAATGAATCACTTGAAATTCCTTAAGAAAAAGAAACATTTCTTTTTTAATTGATTGTTCTCTATTTCTATAGTTTTTTTTCTTGTTCCTTTTCTAATAACTCTAACTCCTTCAATTTTTATAATTTTTTCATTTCCATTATTTCTTTAAAGGTTTTTCTCCTCTCAAGTGGTGGATTATAGGTGCTTTTATTTGGACTATTAGATTTTCTAGGTGATCTTGACTTAGGTTTATAATCCTTTAGGTATTTATCAAATTTATCTCTTTATTTATTTTATTCTCTCTGTAAGTATGATTATTAGTAAATTTTACCAATCTTTTAAGAGCTTTAAACATTTGCTTGATTTTTAGTACTATTTCGAGAGTATAAATTCTGCACTATTAAATCAAATCTAGCAACTCTTGCGCTTCTCTGCTTTTAGTCTTTTTTCTATCTGGTTCTCTCTAGAGTACGTAGAAAGCATCAGAGCAATCTATCACGAATTCTTGAATTGTAATGATGCTTTTGAAATTTTCATCGAAAGCACTGAATTCATCTTCAACTTATGTATCATCTAGAGTCAATAATTGAGAAATATCACAAACTCCAATTCTCTCAGGATGATCCTGATACTCTATAGTGATGAAAATTCAAAATAATTACCTCTTATACACCTGCATCCTATATCAACTAAGTAAGCAATAATCTTCTCAAGAAATTTGTTGATGCCTGTTTTCTGCTTTTCATCTAATTCATGAAACAGACTTGTCCTAATTTTTCTTTAGTTGACATTAAGGAATTCAGCCAAAAGGTTTAGCTTGTCAATTAACAATATTAATTCCCCATTTATTATCTTAGAGCATTATTTTTCATTGGTAAGTATTTCTAAATCATAATTGTGCTTGTTCAATTTCTTAATCGTCTTATCCATCTAATCCATTTTTTTCTGATCAGCTATTGTCTCATTGTTCTTGTTCCTCGATTCGATAGTGATACATCTCGTTCTCTTTTTAGAAATTCCAAACTTCATCATTCTCTAAGGCGAGTAGCCAACTTTGATAATAGAGGCTTTAACAGAATTTTTCCTAGATGAAAATTTTCTCATTGATCTTGCCAAATGATTATTATTTCCAAGGAAAGATTCAAATCCACCAGTTGAAGATAAATGATCATATTATTGATTAATACCAACTTGTGAAGGATCTCTCTTGTGCTTAAATAACAATTCATTCTAAGATTCATTATGATTTATCTATTGTTGTAGTAGCTATTCTTTGCAACATTATGGTAAAAAAGGTAAATGAGATGTCTCTGTTTTTTTAATACTTTACACTATTTGATACATTAAATTTTAAAAACTTACAAAGATAATCGAATTCAGGGGCATATTTAGCCTTATTCGAGATTATTACTCTATCATGTATAACCTTTTCTCTTTTCTAAATTATATTAAAGCAAGAAGCAGATTTATTCATTGCATTATTGATATTTTGAGCTCCCTCTATTTCATTAATGATACCAGGAGAATATCTTTCACCTTGTGGTTTTTACGGAGACGAATTAATTATACTACTATTGTAGTTCGTAAAAGCTTTTGTTTGAGTCTAAGATAAACTGTTCTCTACAGATCTTATAAATGTAACTCTAGGCTTATTTTCACTGCTCTGAATTTTAAATTTATCATCTTTTGCCTCTGATAGTCTAGAATAATTAACCCTGAGAGGCTCAATATTCTTTTTTAAATCAGTGATGAATGTTGCCTACGTTATTCCAAGTCTTTCATCATGGCCTCTGAAATCAGATTGAAAGAGATTTTTTCCTGTGGTTGCAGATCTCTGAGTCAAAGATCCTATTCACTTTTCTTCTATTTAGGGCAAGTCCTTTTTTATGCTTGATAGATTGATTTGAGGGAAAAACCTCTGAGTTTACGGAGTAGAGATATCATTTTAACTCATTTTACCTGCTGATTAGAAATTCAATTAGAACCGGTTAGGAGTTCTAATACTGGTCAATTAACTACTGGGGAGATTTTAGCTAGCTGCAAATTTCGAAGATCTCTCTTCCTCAATGCTTTGCAAGGGACACTATGATATCCTTAGGACTGAAGTCTTGTCATATGGCTAGCCCATATTTTCATCTTACATTCTAAACAGACAAATATTAGGAATAAAAGTTTTTACGCATTTAAATTTTTGCCTTATTTTCTTGGTCTTTGAGCTAATGCTCTTTGAAAAATAATATGATTTTCATCTGAATTATTGATAAACTAAGTTTCTTGATTAGGATCATTGTATTAAAAATCTTAATTAGATGCAAATGTTAAAAGAACATTGCTTTACTTGTATAAACTCTTTTTTCTTTTTATCATATTTTTTTATTACTGAAATAAAATTATTCGTACCCTATGGGGTTTTGGGGTTTTGGGGTTTTGGGG